CACTCCTGTTAATAATAAATATAATTTTCTTTCAAATATTTGGTGATTATATAAGCAAAAAGTATCTCATGACTACATTAATTTTTTGTAATTTTTATTGCCTATGATGTTAAATTTTTCTTATATATTTAGCCATTTCTATTTGTAAATTCGGCACTCATATATTTTGCACATTTTTCTATTGAAGTGTTTAACTTTTCTGATTGAATTACAGAAACATGAAGGCTCTCTCCTCTCATTGTTTGACAAATATTTATTGAATGCCTAGTGTAAACCAAGAGCTGGTCTAGGCACTACAGATACAGCAGTGAATAAGGAAGACAAAATCCCTGCCCTTGAGGGAGAGCATTAGGACAAATACCTAATGCATGCAGGGCTTAAAACCTAGATGACAGGTTGATAGGTCCAGTAGAGCCCATGGCACCTGTATGCCTATGTAAGAAACCTGCACATATTGCATATGTATCCCAGAACTTAAAGTAAAATAAAATAAAATAAGCTCACCTGCATTTATGCATGCCAGCAAAAAAAAATTTGAAAAACCAGAAAAAAAAATCCCTGCCCTGTGTAGCTTATATTCTAATAGGCAGCAACAGAGAGATTCATGTTATAAAGAAATAGAGAAGGGCGCTGTGGCAGAAATTATTTGGAATAGTGACAGCGAATGGGAACTCCTGGAGGTCAGAAATGGTCTTGCTGATGGGATATTTACACTGAGATCTGCATGAAAAGAAGACACAGGGCATCTTCTTGTGTGAAGAGCATTTCAGGCAGCGGGAACAGTAAATGCAAAGGCTCTGAGGCCAGAGTATGCTGGGATCTCAAGAAACAGAGAGAAGACCAGTAGGAGATCAAGACTAGAGGGAGGCTGAGGGCAGATCACATAGGCCACAGTAAAAATATCAGGTTTGAGTCTAAGTGCAATGGGAAGCCAGTGGAAGGTTTTTAATAGGGAACTTACAGAATCCAATGCAGGTTTTAACAATTTCTCTTGATTCTATGAGAAAAATGGATAATAGAGAAGCAAGAGTAAAAGACATTCAGGAGGCTATTGTGGGAGTGTCCACGGACGAGGGACACCAGAAGAGGTAGTGCTAATGTTCTACCTGTACACAGACAGACACACACACACACACACACACACACACTAGAATTGCACTGCCTGGCCCTTTGTGGTTGGTTTAATCAGACAGTGTGGCAACCACCCCCGTTGAGATGGCAGATGGGCCATGGAGATGGTAGATCCATCTGGGTTCCTGAGATACCCTGATAAGCAAAACTTTGAGGGATATGTACCTGGGGCAAGAAATAAACCTGTGCTGTTTTTAAGCACTGAGATTTTTATGCCATCTAACAGTGCAGCATAACCAAGGATAATCTGGCTGAGAAACCTGCATAGTGGAAAATAAAAAGAAATGAATGAATTTAAGATGCTATGAAGTAAATCTAACAGGACATGCCTTCCACATATGTCATAAATATCTTTTTAGTATTTTATTTGTTTTCTCAATTTTACATGTTGTTTTGATACACAAAACTTTTAACATTTTTATAGACACATAAAATTTAGTATTATATTTGCCTTTTTTATTTTTATGTGATGTTTTGACATATGGAATTTTTAACATTTTATGTAGACACATACATATACCTTAATGGTATCTTTCTGTATTTTTAGGTTTTAAAAGCACATTTCCATATTTTCTTTACCATTCATCTGTTGATGGGCACTTCCACAAATGTCTTTTAATGTTAAGTACATCTCCCATTCTGAGTGACAACAAAGTCACAAAGATTCACTTATATTTTCTTTACAACATGTGATAGATCTGACATTTGTTTTGATATAAGCTGTGAGATACAGTTCAAACTTCTCAAATAGGTAACAATCATTTCAATATTATTGATTTAATAAATGTGTCTTTCTCCACTAATGCAAAATACCACCTTTATTATATACCAGCTTCTCTGGTATATAATACTTGGATACTTGGATTTGTTTCTGAGCTTTGCAATTTGTCCTATTGATGTATCTACCAATTCTTGCATCTGAAAAACACTGTTTTAATTATTAAAGCTTTATAGTAAGCTTTTATATCAGGCAGGTTAATTGCTCTCTCCCAACTATTCTTATTTTTTTAGTTTTTCTTGGCTGTTTTCACCCCATTTACCCCTACTATTCTACTATAAATATCGAAACATTTTCTTTCTAATGATATATTTTTCTAACAAATCCTCACACAAAGATTATGAAAATGACACCCTTTTCATAATATCTAATGATACTCATTTTGGCAGTTTGGTGTACATTCTTCCAGATATTCCAGCGTCTATATAAACATATAAACCCATGAATATTTCAGCATTGGTGTCAAAAATTTTTCCAATTTAGATGGTAGAAAGCCAAATAAAATTGACTTGAAAATTAAAAAATAAAATCTGTCTATGTAACCAAAAACACTTTATCTGGATGGCTCCAGGCAAGACTTGCTTCAGAAATTCAAATATCCTCAGGCTTCAGTCCTGGACTTTGGGGCTTTGCAGAATGCCAAACATCATCAGACTTCAGTCTTCCTTTCTCCCTCTCTTAACTTCTCTATGGGCTATTTTCACTCATTTAGTGGCATCAGAAACCCTAGATATAAATACTCAGAAGTCCATCAGAGAAAAAAGAGCATCTTTAAGTATCCCAGTTAACAGATCAGTACACCCACCTGCAGCTGCTATGAGTATTGGCTGCTAACCGCTCACAGCTCTTCTTCTCTGGAGAACTGCCATTAGCTAAGGGATCCACTTCTCCCAGAATGCTTGGGAAGTCACACCACTTGGAGGCAGCCCACAGGCAATGGATGGTTGGTGTGGGCTGCAAAAAGTCAAATCCCTTGTCTGGAGGCAGAACTAGGCCCGTGACATAATTCACATTCCAGAGACCCCTAAGAATCAGGCCAAAGCTAGACTCCAGCTGAAACTACATTTTTGCTTAGCTATTTCCTGTTTTATTCACTTATTTACAGGTTCTCCTTCAAGCACTCCCTCAGCAAAGCACTTGCCCAAAATTCTGTCTCAGGTCTTTTTTTAAGGAAGCTAACCTAAGAGGCATCTCTTCCCAAAAGTCCAAACAGAAGTTCTGGCACGAGGCCCGGCGTGGTGGCTCATGCCTGTAATCCCAGCACTTTGGGAGGCCAAGGTGGGCGAATCACTTGAGGTCAGGAGTTCAAGACCAGCCTAGTCAACATGGTGAAACCCCATCTCTACAGAAATGAGCTGGGCATGGTGGTGTGTGTCTGTAGTCCAAGCTACTAGGGAGGCAGAGGTGAACAAATCGCTTGAACCTGGGAGGCAGAGGTTGCAGTGAGCCGTTATCGCACCGCTGCACTCCAGCCTGGGCAACAGAGCGAGACTCTGGCGTGATGCTTAACAATAACAATAAGAACACTATTGATGAAAACAATAGTAATGATTGCGTTATACATCAAAGCACTCTAGATCTCTCAATATGTCAAAAGGAGGGAAAGTAATATCTACTATATAGTTACCCCATTCTACAAGTTCCCCAAGGTATGTTGGATGGAATAGTCTTATTACTGGCATATTCCTCCACCCTGTCCCAATTACCATTCTACCTTCTATACCAATCCAGGAAGCATCTGAATACACTACACATACTCTTACCACACAGTTATTCAATAGATATTTAATTATAGGCAATGGTAATAAATATTACCCAAAAATCCATTGGAAGTTAGGATTTCCTATGCTAACTGCCAGGAGTCCCAATCTGTGGCTTCCACCATCCTTTATAATATATTCTTGCATCATCTGCATCTGCAATTACAAAAACCACCCTTGTTAGGCTGAATGCTTGCTGATTTTCAAAGGGTTTTATCCCAGCCACGTTACTTAGAAGCAAATGGAGCACATGGCCTCTTTGAGATTTCTTCTGCTGGAAGAGCTCTGATCCTACAATAATCAGCAGATGAAAGCTTACAGGATACAGAGTGGTTCTACTGAATCAGGACTCAAGTTATTAGTAGGAAGAAAGATAGGTTCTCCAAGAACCCATAGTCCAGCAGAGGAGATGGGACTATTTACTAAAGAATAACTATGGACAATGTAAGACAAGTGGAATTCAGTTGCAAATTATGTGGTTCTAACAAAGAGATCGTGGGTTTCAGAGACCAGGGAAGAGACAAGAGCTGGCATGGTTGAAGAAAGTTGACCATAGAAACCCTGGAAATAGATCTTTAAGGAAGGTGAGCTGACAAGCTCCTCAGTGTAGACGTGAAAGAAGTATGTTTAGACCACCACAGACTCATACCCTTCTGAGCCAATAATCGCTCTTCCTTGAAATTAGCAGACAATCCAGCCAGGTTTCAGCCCCTGATATGGGACTTGACATCAGGACTAAGGGTGAGTGCATTGTAAAGAAAACATCACCAGGAGTCCTAAGATCTGAGTTCCAGTCCTGACATTACCACTGAGTAACTTTGGGAATGGGGAGCAAGTGGCAAAGAAAAACCAAGTTCATTCCCAGCAGAGTCTGGAGATGAGCTTTGAGACTAACAAGACTTAAGAGTTGTCATGAGCTCCCATTAGATTTGTTTTTATCCTCTCAGAAGTGTACAGAAGCAGAGATAATGAGCTTCTGCTTCTCCCTGATTGGGCTGGCTTTTCTCTGGGGCCCCACGGGCTGTCCCAGGTGCTGATTCATGCTTCAAGGAAAACCACCGAGATCACCTCATCCTTCCCATAAAATATCCCCAAAGACAATTTAAATATCCCCCTGGTTTGCTTAGTAAGAAAACCTAAAGTCAGTCAGGTACATACATCTATTTGAGCAATCTTAGCTGCTTTCTACAAAATGCTTAAACAACCTTAGATTAGTCTGACTGCAAGCCCAAGATGAATCCAACTGAATTATTCCACCAGGTAATTAAGACTTAATTATTACCTTGGCTCTGAAGTAAGGTCCATGCAAACTAGGGAAAGTGAAGCTGGGCAGAGAATCTTGCCTTTGTCATCAGAACTTGTCATCTGATAAGACCATGACCAGACTCAGATTTCAGCTATTATGTGAAATATACAAGTAAGAATGGATCAGTTTTGGGGGACGGGAAACCTACAGCTTTAATCTCTTTGGGCTTTTGTGTCACTAGGTAAATTTTAGAAAATATAAATAGTTTCATGTGGGAGGTGTGGTATCAGACTGCAGAGCTTAGACAAGAGGCTTTCCTGCAAACGACTATACTTTTTGTAACTATGCTGGAGTAGAATTAATCATATGTGCTAAGACTCTGGCTTTGGAACAAGATAGAGATAGAGCTGGATTAGACTCTGGGCTTTTTCATTGACTAGTCATATGACCTTGGACAAGTTACTTAACTATTCAGAGTCTTAGTCTCCTCCAGGACAAAACAATACCTTTTTCATAGGATCTTTGTATGAATTATATGAGCTAATGTGTGCACAATGCATAATATCTTGATCAGCACAGAGAAGATGTTCAATAAATGGCTGCCAGGATTAAGAGAAGCAGCACAGCATATTGGTTCAACACTCCAACTCCAGGGTCAGAGAACTAGGGTTAGAATCTAAATATATTTTCTTTCTAGCTGTGAAACCTCAAGCAAAACACTTAATGTCTCTAAGCCTTCGTTTCCTCATCTGTAAAATAAAGATAAATGTTTCTCTCTCATAATGTTATTGTCAGGTTGAAAGGAAATACAAACCTTTAAAGTGCTTAGCATCTACCTGACTTGAGCTTGGTAAATGTTAATTTAACAACAATATTTTGAGACAGCGATTTCAGTAAGGTAAGAAACGTTGACTTGGTCAAGCTCCTTCACTCTCCCAAGGAGCTCAATCTTTGGAGGCAAAATGAAGAAGAGTTTGGAGAAGGTTCCAAGTTAAAGAAAGTACGAGGGTTAGGGACCATCTCTTCTGTAAAGAGTTCCTCCTGAATCAGAGGAAACTTTCCCTATGCCATCCAGAGGTCACATAAGGTCATATATTCTATGTCACATATCATAATTTAAATATATTGCAGGTAATAATATCAATCCATAGTGTTCCTCATCTTTCTTAAAAGGATCACTGGCCATAAACCATTGCTTTCCCTTTTGTAAACTGCCCTGGGTTCAGGGAGTCACTTGTCTGTCTCTCTACTCTGGAACTTACCCAAGCTGATGTTACCCCAATCTCCTTCTTAAACAAGATCACACAAAACTGGGTGTCACCAGTCTGGTCCTAAAATTTTTCCCTCTGGGAAATATTTTGAAAATTGCCTTTCTGGAAATAAGCAAACTCTATCATAATAGATAAAAATCATTCTAAGTTTTCAAAAATTGTTATTATGTTGTCATTTTATTTTTGAAAAAATTGAGGTTCCAAGTGGTTGAGCCATTTTCCAAGAGCATATTGAGAAGGACATGATCCAACTAAGTCTCTCTCAAGTTATAAAGAAAGAAAAAGAAGAAAAAACATGGTCCACAAAGTACCCCAAAATCAATCTTTATAATTTACTCCCATAGAAGTTGAGTATTTGCCTAATGGTTTTAGAGAGGCAGTTTGATTTTAAAAGTTTGGGGCTCGGGTCTTAAGAAAGGGTCTTTCTCTTCCCCTAAGAAGAGAGCATGATATGATGGAAAGAATATAGAATTTGGAGTTAGAAAGTCCTAGGTTCAAATATCTCTTCTGTTCCTTCCCAGGTGTATAACAAGTTGGACAACTCTCTTAACCTCTCTGAATTCCACTTTGTTCATCCATAAAATAGCTGTAGCTATTTGGAGGGCTGCAGGAAAGACTAGAGCTAATGTATAAAACAGGCCTCACATTCATGTACCACAAACTCAGTGTGATTGCATCTGCACCCCAACAATCTGCCACCTAATCTCTGGTCAGGAGCCTTGAACAATTGTCTCTAATCAGGAAATAGCCATAGCTAGACATAAGATGGACTATAACAATTTCAGAATTAGATGCTGAGAAAGGTGTTGAAATAACCAAGTTATCTCAGGATTTGAAGGTTAAAAAAGACCTGATTAACTGCAGGGAGATTTCTTTGGTTCCATAGATTATAAAGATATAAGAAAGATGTAGGGAGACAACAAAACAAATTTCTAGTTAAAAGCAGAGGATTTCCCACCAACTAACTCTTCTGCTTCTACTTTCACCAGGAGGTAATTTTAGACAAAGTAATCTCTCAGAGATTTAAAGTCCTCATTGGTAAAAATAAGATCCTAATGTCTGCTTAAACGGCTGTTTTCAGGATTAAATAATATATGTGAAGCACTCACAGTCTCTAGTGGAATCAATAAATAAAATATGTTATAAGCATACCAAGGAAGACCATAACAAAATCAGAAACAAACAAACTAAATTTACCAAAATTCATAAACAAATAATGAAAATATAGTGTATGCTTAAAAAAATGGGATTTATGTCACAATATCATGCACACAAATTTTAAAACATGCCACAGCCACTACATTTTTAACATACATATATTTCTAAATACATATGAAAAGAAGAAACAAGGAAGGATATATATTTGAATACACTAGAGTGCACACTTAAGAGAAGCAGGGGAAGGAGTAGGGATGAGACAGGACTATCAAAAAACATAAAATAAAATAAAATGAAAAAGAGCCTTGGGTAAAGGTTTATCTTGGATAAACCAATGATGATGGTTTATCAGGAACTGAGGAGTAAGGGTCATTTAATTTTTTACCCAAGATCCCATAATATTATATTTAAGTAACTATAAATTACTTGAATTAGTGCCTGCATTGCTTTATATACTCAGTATTTAGTAGCTAATGAGCCTATATAGCTAGACATATAAATCATGGATTGTGAGAAACAAAAGATTTAGTGGTCATATAATCTAGCTCTACCATTTTGTAGAAGAGAAAGTGAAGCCCAAGTTGAAGGGAAAATAAACTTTTGAGGGTTACTCAGCTAGTGAGCAGCTGTCATAGAGGTGACAACCATAGAGTTTAAACCATACCATGAAGGCCTTCCAAAGAAGCTGACTCATCCCCAGCCCCTGCTGCTGGAGCAAGGTGGACAGAATAGCCCTTCAACATGCTTGACTTGATCTGTCAATGTCTCTCTCCCACTAGGACCCTGATTAGAGCCGAAGTAAGCTCCAGACCCAAGAACAGCTACAATGAGCCCTTTCATGACAGTGTGGGCTGCTTGTCTCTCTCTACCCATGTAGTGAATAAAGCAATCACAATGATTCTGTAGGCGGGGACTAATCACAAGTTCAAAACCTCTTCCTGGCAGGTCCCAGTGGAATTAAACCTTAGGTGAAAGGGAAGCAAAAGAGGGATCCCATGGAAGCCAGAGGACCTGCCTGTTATCCCCAAGTCTGCCAACAACTAATTATTTGACTTTTGGGCAAGTCATAAACCTCTCTGTCAGTTTTCTCAATGCCAAAATAATGACAGTATCAATCATGCCCACTTCACAGGGGTGTGGAGGCAATCACAGACATTTATGGATATAAAATGTATGAAAGGAAGTAGAAAAAGGTATTATGATGCATTCTTATTGCTATGGATTTTATCAAAAATAGCGATGTCCATGTTGCCATAGCAAAGAAAATTCCTAGTTGTGCTACATGGAAAAGTTTCCTAACAATCTAATTTTTATATTCATCACTTTATCAAACATAGTTCTAGATTCAAGAACTCTGAATTGACGATTCCAACCTGAGGGAATTCGGGGTGTGAGATTAGGGAGGTCAGGTAAATGGTTCAAGGGGAGCAGTGTAGGATAATGGAATTAGGATCTTGGGTCTGGATCCTGGCTCCTCTACAATGTGGGTCAACAGATAGTTTCATGTCTCTAATCTCCATTTCTCAACCACAAACAAGACTAATGTCACCTCTCCAGTAGGATTGTTGACAGATTTCCATAAGGTATTGTATGTGGAATATCCTGGGAGTGTAGAGATACCTTCAGAAAAAAAAATAGAGAGATGGGGACCTGACCTTCCATGCAAAGGCCCCCAGGAAGCTTTTAGGCATTTTAATGAGTATCCTGAATGGACTTGGAACATGGTATTATGCAGTATATGAGGTGACTCAGATCTGTATCACATGGCAAGAGGAAATCTTAGGAAATGAAAAATTTCCATGACTCAAATATAAAGCAAACTAAACATAATTATTTTAAGCAGTTTGGTAGAGCAAAAGAAAGGAGCACTCATTTGACTTGATGTTTGAAAGCTTCTCCTAGAAGCAGGAGTTTAGCGACATCTCCTCTTCTGTGTATCCAGTCACAATATGTAGTCTTTTTGTGTATGGCATGCACATAATCATAATAGAGAAACACAACCTACTGACAGTAGAATCAACCCATCATCAAAATATAGAGAAGACTTAAATTAGCAAGCATTGCCATATGACTGGGATAAAAGACTGTTTTTTTGTTAAGGGGATGGAAGGGAGGAGAGAGGAAAGAACAAGGGAATAATTTCTTCATCTTACTTAGTGAGAGTCAAACTTAGTCAATTAGTGAAAAAAATAACTTATATATAGTATTGAACTAAAGATACAAATATATTGCTCAAAGATCACAATAGTAACAAAGTTTATGTGGGGTAAATGGATTCTGTTTCAGAACAGAAAATCAATAGCTACTATCTAAAATTGATGATAATAGTAATGACAAAAACAGCCAACATTATTTAGCTCTATGTGCCGGGCACTGATCTACATCAGTTACAGGTATTAACTTATTTAATACTTAAAAGTCTACAAATTGAGTTCAGCGTATACTGCTCAGGTGATGGATGTACCCAAATCTCACAAATTACCTCTAAAGAACTCACTCATGTAATCAAATATCATCTGTTTTTCAAAAACCTATGAAAATAAAAAATAAAGTTATATTCAAATTCAAAACAAAGATAATAAACCTATGTGCTCTTCCTTAAAAAAATTAAAAGAGCCCTATGACATAGGCATATTTCTGTTATGAATAACGAATTGAGGCACAAAGATGTTAGGTAACTTACCCAAGGTCATATAAAGGTAGTGAGCCCACGAGTTTGAACATATTATTTATAATCCTCGTGTATAAACAACCAAACAACTTTAGAATGCAAGATGTTGAAGACGTAAGCTTTCAAATTGTGAAAGGCTTTCATGAGGAGAAGTGATTAAAATTGCTGTGAGTGTCTAGAAGGGGTAAAACCAAGACTAGTGTGTGAAAGGTACAGAAGGAGAGAGCCCAGGTCCACAAATAGAATCAACAGGTGGAACTGTTCGCAGATGGAAGCTCATATGGCAACTGAGTGACCGTGTGGTGGGCATGTGGTAAGTGAGACTCCAGCCCCAGATGGGATTCGAGCAGATGCTGTCTAGGTCTCTTCCAAACCTGAGAATTGTGTGCCTCTTATCTTCACAGAAATTTCCAAATGTAAACTCGAATTAATTTGAATCAGAAATACCAGCTTAAGGCTCAGTTCCATAAAATGCAAGAGATGTCCAAGGAAAATCAGCCAGTTTCAGAATTGCTTAAAAATAAGCTCTAAAAATAAGCCCAGAATTATAAATCAAAATGTCTACTACAGAGGGAAACACTCTGTCCTTCAATTCTGAAATTCTTTTTATTTCATTCTCATCCTCAGACCAACGGTCCACATTGTCTCCATGGCCAAGAATAATCTCACCACAGTAACTGAATTCATTCTCGTGGGCTTTACAGACCACCCCAAATTGGAGATTCCCCTCTTCCTGGTGTTCATGAGTTTCTACCTAGTCACCCTTCTTGGGAATGTGGGGATGATTATTTTAATCCAAGTAGATGTCAAACTCCACACCCCAATGTACTTCTTCCTGAGCCACCTCTCCCTGCTGGATGCCTGTTACACCTCAGTCATCACCCCTCAGGTCCTAGCCACATTGGCCACAGGCAAAATGGCCATCTCCTATGGCCGCTGTGCTGCCCAGTTCTTTTTGTTCACCATCTGTGCAGGTACAGAGTGCTTCCTGCTGGCAGTGATGGCCTATGACCGTTGTGTTGCCATTCGCAACCCACTGCTCTATACCGTGGCCATGAGTCCCAGACTCTGCTGGAGCCTGGTGGTAGGAGCTTATGTCTGTGGGGTGTCAGGGGCCATCCTGCGTACCACGTGCACCTTCACCCTCTCCTTCTGTGATGACAATAAAATCAACTTCTTCTTCTGTGACCTACCACCCCTGCTGAAGCTTGCCTGCAGTGACACAGCAAACATAGAGATTGTCATCATCTTCTTTGGCAATTTTGTGATTTTGGCCAATGCCTCGATCATCCTGATTTCCTATCTGCTCATCCTCAAGACCATTTTGAAAGTGAAGTCTTCAGGTGGCGGAGTCAAGAGTTTCTCCACGTGTGCCTCCCACATCACTGCTGTGGCCCTTTTCTTTGGGACCCTTATCTTCATGTATCTGCGAAGTGGCTCGGGCAAATCCCTGGAGGAAGACAAGGTCGTGTCTGTCTTTTACACAGTGATCATCCCCATGCTGAACCCTCTGATCTACAGCTTAAGAAACAAGGATGTAAAAGACACCTTCAGAAAGGTCACTAGGAGACTCCAGGTGTCCCTGAGTATGTAGATCTGAGTGAGAGGAGTTCTTGTTTTAGTCCACTTTCTTCCCATATCAACATATCCTAATAGGCACCATTATTAAATGCAACTTATACCCACAAATAGAGGGCAGATAGAAGGTAGGTACCACCAGACACACAGGAAAAACTACAATTGTGGTGAAATTAGTTTCCAGCAATTCCATGTTCTTTCTTCCTATCCCCTTCTTCCACTTTCAATCCATTCCTTAGCACTCAGCAGTCTCTTGCTATTCTCTAATGTCACAACTTATAGAATCTCAGGTCCCAGGAGTCTTGAGTTTATTTCATTCCACCCCAATACTCTCTGCATTCAGGCCTTGGCTTGCCATCATTTCCCTCTTGTTTTTGCTCCCATCAATCCCACCTTTTCCTCTGTGTCAAAGACTGTATCTGGGGAGCTCTGTGAATTGTACAAATTGGTCCTTTTTTTCTTTTAATATGAAGGACTGATCACCTCACTAAGCAGGGAGTATCGTGTAAGGCAAAACTCAGTCCCCAATCTGCCAAGGGAAGGAAGTTTGAGAAATGAGCTTCTCTTTTCAGAAGTTTACCCCCTTAGAGTGTCTTCATTCTTGCTCAGACCGGAACAATGGAGCTTAAAAATTTCCTTATCAGTTGGCACCTTACTGGTTTTGTTGTTCCTGCTTTCATGTTACTTTGGTAACTTCAAGATGAATTGAACCATATTACCTTTGGGAATGTCTCCTCAAGGTCTCTTGTTTCTGAAGGCCATGGTGCATTTCTTCCCCTCCTCGCCCTATTGCCTGTCTCATGAACAGTTCTCTCCTACCAAGTATCCAGTTTCCAGGAAGAGCAAATCACAGAGCACAGACAGATAAATAGAGAGACAACTGAACCCCATATTACACTTTCTAATGAAGATCTGGTAAGAGGGGAAAGTCATCATGACTCCTGCACCAGACTGCAAAACCCTTGAGAACAGAATGTTTTCTTCACTGCTAAGTCCAAAGCCTTTTGAAAGAATTTTTTAGTACATGCTTGTTTCTATTTGAGCCTTCTGGTAACTCTATTGCAAATGGAAAAAACATGGTTTAATGTAAAATTCCCATTTTGCAATTAAGGAAGTATTTCCTCATGAGTCAAAGAGTAAGTACTCAGAGTATACAGCAGCAGACAAGTCATGGAGTCAGACTTGAATTTGAATCCTGATTCCACCGCTGATTTATTATGAGGTCTGGGTAAATGATTTAATTTTGCAGACCTAAAGCAAGTATAACAATTCCCAATTCAAGAGGATATTGTAATAAAATGATGAATAAGAAATAGCCAACACTAATCAGGCGTTCAATATAGATTGCTCTCATGTCTTCTCTTCCCTTTCCTTCACTTTCTGATGTCAACCCTGGACCCTTGCTAGAGTTTAATGGCCATTGACAAAAGAAAAATAGATCACCAAGCAATGATGGTAAAAGTCAATGAAAGTGATTAACTGAGGAAAATGTATAACTCAATCCTTTGTACCAAGGAATAAAGTAAGTGAGTATTTAACTGGATAGGTGGAGTGCATGTATCTATGTCCCACATAGTCAAGGATAATAAAAGGATGTATTTTAAGTGAATATGTTATTTTATGAATATATGAACTCCTCTACCCAACTTTGATTTCATGAAAAGTTGATCCTCATTGTCTCTCCATATGGAAACAACAGTTTTATTAAAATAATTCATTGTGGAAGACAGTGTGGCAATTCCTCAAGGATCTAGAAATAGAAATATCATTTGATCCAGCAATCTCATTACTGGTATATATCCAAAGGATTATAAAGCATTCTATTATAAAGGCACATGCACATGTATGTTTATTGTGGCACTGTTCACAATATCAAAGGCTTGGAACCAACCCAAATGCCCATCAATGATAGACTGGATAAAGAAAATGTGGCACATATACACCATGAAATACTATGCAGCCATAAAAAAGGATAAGCTCATGTCCTTTGCAAGGACATGGATAAAGCTGGAAACCATCATTCTCAGGAAACTGACACAAGAACAGAAAACCAAACACCACATTTTCTCACTCACAAGTGGGTGTTGAACAGTAAGAACACATGGACACAGGGAGGGGAACATCATACACTGGGGCCTGTCAGGGGGTAGCGGGCTAGGGGAGGGATAGCAGGGGGTGGAGGGCTAGGGGAGGGATAGCATTAGGAGAAATATCTAGTGTAAATGACGGGGTGATGGATGCAGCAAACCACCATGGCACGTGTATGCCTATGTAACAAACCTGCATGTTTTGCCCATGTAACCCAGAACTTAAAGTATAATAATATAATTATTATTATTATTATTATTCACCATACTTCTGTAGTTGACAGATTCAGAAATAAGCACCTGATCCATGTAGGGCTAATAAAAATTTTTCATGGACAGATTCAGAAATAAGCACCTGATCCATGTTGGGCTAACAAAAATTTTTCATGGATACTGTGAAGTTGAACATGTAAAAGAGATTCAGAATAGAAAACCAGATTGACAAAGGTAGAGAATACCCAAATAACTACTAAACGTAGGAAGAGCTGCTTCTTCTCATTGAAAATTGAGAATAAGGATTATTCTCATGAGAATTGTCAGGAACATGCACACTTAATACCACAATATGTTTGCTAAGTTAGCAAAAATTTAAAACTATGACATCACTACGTTGACAAAGATATGAAAAATGAGTAGTATAAATGGGTTTAACAACTTTATAAAGTAATTTGGCAATCCTTTAGGAATAAAAATAGACAAGCAATGACCCAGCTATTCCAATGAGCTAGCTATACACACTGGTGAAACTCTTGCCCATGCACATTGGGATATGCGTCCAGAATGTTCATGAAGTATTGTTGTAATCGCACAAACCTCAAAACACTTTCCTTTGGTTTTTCTTTTTTCTGGCCTGGGGAACGGATGTGATGGCTGGAGGCCTAGAAGCTATTGTGGACCATAAAGTGACTTTAAAGATGAGAGCAATGCATAGAAAACAGCAGAGCAGGGAAAAAGAGAAGCCCAAGTCCCTGATGACCTTTTTAATCCACCATATGGGCCCTGGGCTGCCTATCCACGGGTCTCTTTTATGCGAGAAAGAAGCATTCATCTTATTAAAGAAAATAACTAGAAACAATATAATTTTTTTGAAAAATAGGCTAAACAATGTCATAATATAGGGATATATACACATATGACAAAGCTTTAAACCACACAAGTAAATTATTATAACCATAGCCAAGATACAGGAGCAAGGAGAGTTGTGAAGGGGGAGGACCTCATAACGAACTTCTAGAGAGAAGTGTTCTATTTATCTTTGTCTGATAGCAATTGCCTGAGTATTTTTTTTTAAGTTTTTTGATAAACCATATTCATTTTAAGGCACTTTTTTGTATATGTATTATATTTCTTTAAAAAATACAAATAAGTAAAAATGCAGACCCCACCGCACTCCTAAACTAGCATGGAAGCCTAAGTCTTGGGTTCTATCACCATGTCAGACAGTGGCACATACCCCTCTTTCCTTGGCAACAACATAGTGGAATTCAAGGGGAGTTAGGAGACTCCTCCTCAGTTATGGCTTTTGTCTGCTTTGTTGTTTTGACTAATTTTCCACCATTAAAGCAGCCCTTTTTTTTTTTTTTTTTTTTTGATGGAGTCTCACTCTGTCACCAGGCTGGAGTGCAGTGTCGCAGTCTCGGCTCACTGCATCCTCTGCCTCGTGAGTCCAAGCAATTTTCCTGGCTCAGCCTCCAAAGGATCTGGGACTACAGGCACATGCCACCATGCCCAGCAAATTTTTGTATTTTTAGTAGAGACAGGGTTTCACCATGTTGGCCAAGATGGTCTCGATCTCCTGATCTTGAGATTCGCCCACCTCAGCCTCCCAAAGTGCTGGGATTGCAGGTGTGAGCCACCATGCCAGCCCTTTATTTTTTTATTGACAAAAACTGTAAATATTTGTAGTGTACATCATGCTTTGATATATGTATGCACTGTAGAACTACTAAATCAAGCTAATTTTTTTTATATTATACTTTAAGTTCTAGGGTACACATGCAGCTCATGGAGGATTGTTACATAGGTATACACATGCCATGGTGGTTTGCTGCATCCATCCTCCCATCATCTACATTAGGTATTTCTCCTAATGTTATCCCTCCCTAATCCCCTTAGCCCCTGATACCCCTCCCCAACTCCCACCCTGCCCCCAACAGGCCCCATGTGTGATGTTCCCCTCCCTGTGTCCATGTGTTCTCGTTGTTCAACACCCACTTATGAGTGAGGACATGCGGTGTTTGGTTTTCTGTTCTTGTGTCAGTTTGCTGAAAGTGATAGTTTCCAGCTTCATCCATGTCCCTGCAAAGGATGTGAACTCAACCTTTGCATTTTTATGGCTGCATAGTATTCCATGGTATATATGTGCCGCGTTTTCTTTATCCAGTCTATCATTGATGGGCATTTGGGTTGGTTCCAAGTCTTTGCTATCGTGAATAGTGTTGCAATAAGCATACATGTGCATGTGTCTTTATAATAGAATGCTTTATAATCCTTTGGATATATACCCAGTAATGGCATTGCCAGGTCAAATGGTATTTCTATTTCTAGATCCTTGAAGAATCACCACACTGTCCTCCACAATGGTTGAACCAATTTATACTCCAATCAACAGTGTAAAAATGTTCCTATTTCTCCACATTCTCTCCAGCATCTGATGTCTGCTGATTTCTTAATGATCGCCATTCTAACTAGCATGAGATGGCATCTCAGTGTGGTTTAAATTTGCATTTCTCTAATGACTAGTGATGATGAGCATTTTTTCATATGTCTATTGGCTGCATAAATGTCTTCTTTTGTAAAGTGTCTGTTCATATCCTTCACCCACTTTTTGAGGGGGTTGTTTTTTTCTTATAAATGTGTTTAAGTTCTTTGTAGATTCTGGATATTAGCCCTTTGTCAGATGGGTAGACTGCAAAAATTTTTGCCCATTCTGTTGGTTATCAGTTCACGTTAATGATAGTTTCTTTTGCTGTGCAGAAGCTCTTAAGTTTAATTAGATCCCATCTGTCTATTTTGACTTTCATTGCCATTGCTTTTGATGGTTTAGTCATTAAGTCATTGCCTATGCCTATGTCCTGAATGATATTGCCTAGGTTTTCTTCCAGGGTTTTTATGGTGTTAGGTCTTATGTTTAAAGGAGGCAGAGGTTGTGGTGAGCCGAGATCGCACCATTGCACTCCAGCCTGGGTAACAAGAGCAAAACTCCGTCTCAAAAAAAAAAAAAAAAAAAATCTTTAATCTATCTGGAGTTAATTTTTGTACAAGGCGTAAAAAAGGGGTCCAGTTTCAGCTTTCTGCATATGGCTAGCCGATTTTCACAACTCCATTTATTAAACAAGAAATCCTTTCCTATTGCTTGTTTTTGTCAGGTTTGTCAAAGATCAGATGATTGTAGATGTATGATGTTACTTCAGAGGCCTCTGTTCTGTTCCATTGGTCTATTTCTCTGTTTTGGTACTGGTACCATGCTGTTTTGATTACTGTAGCCTTGTAATATAGTTGGAAGTCAGGTAACTTGATGCCTCCAGCTTTGTTCTTTTTTCTAGAATTGTCTTGGCTATGTGGGCTCTTCTTTGATTCCATATGATGTTTAAGGTGGTTTCTTCCCATTCTGTGGAGAAGATCAATGGTAGCTTGATGGGGATAATCAAGCTAATTTGTAATAATATGCATAGACCCGGTGAGTGCCTGGCTACTTCTTATTTATTGTTTTAATTTAATTTTTACAATATCCTCTTGAATTAGGAATTGTTATACTTGCTTTAGACCTGAGGAAGTAAATCATTTACCCAAAGTCTCACAATAGTAACATTTTTGTTATTGCATGTTAATTAGCTTGATTTAGTAGTTCTACAATGCATACATATATCAATATGTACAATATTTGTGTTATTGTTAATTACAATATACATTTTTTGTGGTAAGAACATTTAAAACTACTTTCTTAGCTATTTTCAAGTTTCAATTCTCAAAGCAGTTTTTCTTTATGTCAAAGTTAAATATCCTGTATGACTGAACACTTATCCCAGGGAATATTTAGAAAGCAGGTGATTAAACCGAAAAACACCTGGTGCTTAATGTTCTGCCACAGAATAGAATGGACAGGTAAGCCATGTGGGCTTACTGAGGTCTGAAGAACTGCCTATGAGTTCAGTCAGGCTTCCTAGAATCCAGGCTAATAAATGAATCTATTCCTAGAATCCAGGAGGAGTCCCCGTCTCCTCCTCCTGACTGCCTTCACCACCTCTCTGAGCATCCCACACAACCTCTAGCTGCCATTGGGGAAGCTGTGTGACATCAAGTAAGACACGCAACCCCATGGGTCTGCCTCTTCATCTGTAATGTGTCAAAGTATTAAATCACAATTACCTTTGCACCAACCTAATAGATCTGGATTATTTCTTCACTTCTTTCTAGCTCTGAAGGAAGTAGTATAAAGGTGGCAGTGCTCACTCCCCGAAGAGCACACAGAGAAGCATGGGAAATGATGTCATTCGGGGTCTGCCACTTACCCTCCTGAGCCTTTTAATCCCCTGGCCCACTGTTTGCCTACCTAGATGAAGAGAAAGGAGGATTTAATATTCCTGCAGTCAGCTCTAACTGAAGGGAGCAGGCTTCTCCCAGAAATTGGAACCCCTGTCACATTCATTAATTAATGGTTTGCAGGCAAGAGTGGACTCACACAACCCCCACTGAGGGCAGGTAAATCATCACAGTGACTTGCAGAGAAAAAGGGAGAGTCTCTCTTTCATTTAACATTATCATTTTTGTGCATAAGCATCATCTTAGGTGTTGTACACAAGATGATAAAACCATCCAAGGATTCAATTGGATCAGATTGGATTGTTTGGGCAAGAAGGCAAAACAGCTGGGCGCCTAGAGGAACTCTGAGGTCCCAGGCTCTGAATTTTACCCAGCAATGCTGTGTAAAACCAGGTATACTCTCTGGCCCTGCTACCTGCTGCAGGTGTGTTCAAAGATGGGTTTCTAGCATATGCATAAAATTGGCCAGAAGAAGATTTAGTAATTGCATTTTTTATGGATTTCAGATTCTCACAGCATCAATCTCATTCTCCTTGGACCTACTCAGAAACAGGAGAAAGATTAACAGTGCCTCACAAGAGTTCCTCACAGGAGCACAAGGACCAGCTTTTTCCCTATGAGGTAATGTAAATTCTAAAATTATGTTGTGTTTGAAAATAAAATACATTCCAGAGACTATTCAATGTGCTTTCCAATTTTCGAACATAAACTTTGTTCGACCTTTTAGACAAGTTATTTATCTTCCCCAACCTTCAATTCTGTCTTCCATAAAACAGGCACAGAAAGACACACCTTGCAGAGGCTGTAATCAGTAACAAATATGTCAAGTGCAGGGAACAATAGTTGGCAGCGAGTTATATTATGACTCCCCTACACCACACCATCACCCACTGCTCAGAGCATGAACAGAGAATCATCCAGCCAGCTCTGAGGAGGTTGTCCCTGCTGGTGATATTTGTAAGAAAGACATTTGTAACAAGAATCTTTTGAGAAGATAATGTGGAAATAAATGTTATAGGAAGAGGGAGTAAAATGAGGTAGGTAATGAGTTGGGAAATGTCTCCTGACCTCTGAGTACCCTGGCTGTCCTGCACAAGTCCTCCCCACTCTATGGTCCTGTCGTGGACTTGTTAGTTCTGGTTTGTACTTTCATGAATCTGTTGCCTTTCCTGAGGCACCAAATGGGACACTAGTGTTGAGGTCCCACCAAGATTGGTTTTAGAGGGAATGTTTTTTGACTTAGGGGGTGAAAGTCACTTCTCCGGGCTCCATTTTCTCTTTTACAAAATGAAGAAAATATAGTCGACCAGGTGCATTAAATTTTTTAAACAGTAGAGCCCTGCTTCTAAGCAAAATGAAATGAAGAACCTCGTTGTTTAAATGGCAGCACCCACCTGCTGAGCCTTCCCTTCACATCTCACTGCTGTGTCTCCTTGAGACAGCCCTGGAAGGCTGAGGCTGAGAAACACAGCTGAAAACCACAGAACCACATCACCAAGGTCCTTTCTGACTCTAGGGTTCTGTGTGTCCTTAAGTCCTGGGTCTCTGGGGGCGATCGTGGGTATTTTCAACCAGTGTTGGGAGGGGCATAGTGAGCCACCACTCCCAGTGTGTCGGGATTTGCTGAGCCCACCCTGACAGCCATATGCACAATGAGTGATCTCTAAACACTGGAAAGAGAAACATGTCACTCAGGTGCTTGCCTGACATAATGCCACATCCAAATGTAGGGCATCAGACATACGTGGGCACAGAAACTAACAGATAAGCTTGGGGTTTCCAGGAATGTTCTTATTGTGCAGGTTTTCCCATTGAGAAAATCACTGACTTGCATGGTTGAGACATTCCAAGTTGTAGCTACCACTCTCCAGGAGAAAGCGGACAGATGAATGTATTCCTCTAGGCAAAAGAGGTCAAAAAGAGAAAGCATGACAGCATCTGTTCTCAGGCTGCATGAACAAAGTTATGCAAGTCCAGCAGGACATGTCCAGAGTGGAACTAAAAGGTCATGGCCCTTCTAGGAAAAAAAGGTGCTGTGGTTGACCAATCATAACAGCATAAATCCAACTAGCTAGTGAGATATCACCATCAGTTTGTAAAGCATATGATTATTTAGAAATCTGAATCTGTGGTTATTTAGTTCACATACTGAAACATTTGAAGTAATCTTTTAAGAGCCTCAAAGAAACATTGTATTTATTTATTTATTTTGAGACAAAGTCTCACTATGTCACCAAGGCTAGCAGGCAGTGGCAGGGCCTTGGCTCACTGCAACCTCCACCTCCTGGGTAAGTAATTGAGATTACAGGAACACACATCCATGCTGGCTAATTTTTGTATTTTTAGTAAAACAGGGTTTCACCTTGTCGGCCAGGCTGGCCTCGAGTTCCTGACTTCAGGTGATCCAACTGCCTCGGCCTCCCAAAGTGCTAGGATTACAGTTGTGAGCCACCTCACCCAGCCCATGTTTATAATCTTATGATTCAGAGACAGGCACAGCAGAGAGTCCTGGGAGTTTATCTAGTCAAGTATGTCCTAAAGCATAGATTACACACCTCAAAATTTCCATACCCCCCCAAGAAAGGACTCTGTGGCTGAATAATCATGGAAAATGCTACCTCAGGAAGAGTTATTAAGTCATAGAATAGGATAATAGATTGGAGTGACAATTCAAGATGTCTACACTAGAAAGTTTCAAAATGAGTCATGGTCATAGTAAGGACAAGTTTAGAAGAGATGCCCTGTGTCAGTCCCAACCACAACCAGGCTGAAGGCATGAGCCATGTTTTGTGTCACATATGGTCCCTTTGGACACAGTAGAGAATTAATATGTGGGTTGGCTATACCTTCAACATTCTAATTTGTGTACTGGCTACTACAAAAAAAAGCAGCTGAATAAATAAAAATCTCTTTTTCAAGGTATTTGAATTAAGAAACCCTGAAATAATTGTTCTGTTTCAACAGAAATAAAGGTGATGGACCTCCATGAGGTGATGAGCCACAGCCAAGGATAAGCCAAATTCCTGAGAAAGCAGAGAAGATTTTAAAACAATAGGAAACTCCTTTGACAGTGGATTAGAAAGGAGCAGACACTGGGAGCACAGAACAATCACAGTAAAAGCAGTGCTCTGGAAGAAAGATGCGTAAACTCCTGCTCTTAAGATCCTGAGCATCTCCTTAAATTCAGTACTCTGGTACTCCCTTCCACTCTTCAGTTTCCATTAGATCTGCCTCCATTCGGCCAAAGGAGGTAAGAGCAATAGGAGAACCAGGGTTGTCCCTGCCAAGGCTAACACTAATCAAGAGATTTTATATGCACCAATTCCCACACATTAGTGGAGTTGTTAATTATTAGGAATTTGGTGAATCTGGTATTCTTTCCAAGTCTGGAATACTAGGATTTCGGTTTTGGCTCATGAGCCATGAAATCCCTAAGACCAAAATCAATAGGCAGCCATGAAAGATTTTGTGGAAGTTCTATGTCTGGTAGGACCTCATATTTCACAAACAAGTCCCTAAACCTGTTTCCAACCTGCTCCATCGCTGATGGAGCAGCCTCCACCTACTCTCCAGGGGTATCATCCTGGAAAGCACAGCCCAGAGCAATCAGTAGCTGACAAAGGAACTCACTCCACTACCCAAAAGGGAAGAATCAACGTGATTTCTGCAGAAAACTGATTCTACTGAACACTGTGAACCTTTTCTATGAACTACCTTTGGAGTACAGAGGTAACAAAGTACAAGGTGTACTGTCAAGAAGAACCAGTGTAGGATACAAGCAATGTCTTGCTGTTATGACTGTTTGATCTTGGCTTCAGCACTTGCAATTTATTCTTTGACAAGTCACTTTAATTTCCTGAACCTCAGATAACACATTTCAACAGTGAAACTCATAACAGCTCTACTAGGATTATTGGGAGGAATCAGTAAGTTAATGCAGAAATGTTCAACACAGAATAAGGGCTCCATGATCACAGAATCACCTTCCTTCACAGTCCCACAAGAAAAGAAATTCAAGGCAGGCGATGACCTGGTTCATAGGAGAGCAAAAACAGATTATGAAAGTACTCACAAGGAATGGTTGAGATAGCTGGGAATGTCTGACTTGGAGAAAAGTCTAGATAAAAGTAGGCATTACCACTATTTGTCTTAGAAGAGAGTTGGGTTTATCCAACATGCAGAGCCAAGCATAATACTAATGCGTAGAAGGTATAGAAAGAGCAATCTGTCTTTCTTAACCAGGCAGAATTTTCCAAAGGCAGACTGGATAGAAAGCCCCCATCACATAAAGGGCCCTGCCTCTGACAACCCTGGAGGCACCATTCACAGGACGTCTGTATGAATGGCCCTGCCTGGAATCACACAGGCACAGCCTAAGACGCCGCATAGAGGCAGCTCTGTAGCACACCTGGGCTAGATGACAATTTATGGGAAGTATTCTAGCACAGAGAGACCCCTTATTGGTCCCTTCCAATCTTGATTGTCCAACATTGTCTGGTCTTAAAGAAAACATCCCAGACAATAATAAGCAAGTGAATTTGAAGAAAGACTGCACCAAGGTCCGGTTTCAGGTGGGATGCAGAGATAGGTAAAAGCTCTCCATAGTAACTTCCAGCTGTGGACTCTTAAGATGATAAATACTTTTTTCTCTCTCTGAGCAGAGGCTGGGACATTTACTTAACACCTGACGCTGAAGAAACCAAAGACCTTCAGTTCTGAAATCTCAATTTCATTCTCCTCCTCAGGTCGACCAGCTATATTGAGCTTATGGCCAAAAGAAATCTCAGCACTTTGACAGAGTTTATTCTTGAAGGCTTCACAGGTCACCCTGAACTGGCAGTTCCTCTCTTCATAGTGTTTCTCAGCTCCTATCTTGTCACTCTTCTGGGGAATGTAGGCATGATTATTCTAATCCAAGTGGATGCCCAACTCCACACCCCCATGTACTTCTTCCTGAGCCACCTTGCCTTCCTGGATGCCTGCTTTGCCTCAGTAATCACCCCTCAGATTCTGGCCACACTGGCCACAGACAAGTTGGTCATCTCCTATGGCCACTGTGCTGCACAGTTCTTTTTCTTCACCGTCTGTGCAGGCACGGAGTGTTACCTGCTGTCAGTGATGGCCTATGACCGCTTTGTTGCCATTAGCAATCCACTGCGCTACAACATGATCATGACTCCAGGTACATGCAGGGTCTTATTGGCCGTGGCCTACATCTGTGGGGTGTCAGGGGCCATTCTGCGTACCACATGCACCTTCACCCTCTCCTTCTGTGGTGACAATCAGATCAACTTCTTCTTCTGTGACCTCCCACCCCTGCTGAAACTCGCCTGCAGCAGCATGACACAAACTGAGATTGTCATTCTCTTTTTTGCAAAATTCATGTTCCTAGCCAATGTCATGATTATCCTGATCTCCTACATGCTCATTATCAGAGCCATTTTGAGGGTGGAGTCGGCAGGTGGGCGAGCCAAGGCCTTCTCCACCTGCACATCCCATCTCACCACTGTTGTCCTCTTCTTTGGGACACTTGCCTTCATGTACCAGAGAAGTAACTCTGACAAATCCTCAGAGGAAGACAAGATAGTGTCTGTCTTTTACACTGTAATCATCCCTATGTTGAACCCCTTGATCTACACTCTGAGGAACAAAGATGTAAAAGCTGCATTCAGAAAAGTCATTGGCAAATTCCAGTTTCCAAGGAACATAGCTTTCAGTAAGGGCCCTTCATTGTGACCCATCTTTTCTCCAGGTCTTCATATTCCAATGGGCATCAACACCAGCTGGTGCTTTCCCCCAACAGTGTACAGTAGGTAGTTTTCTTCAGCACCTGGAAGTGTGCAGGAACTACCTGTCCTTAGAGAAAAGTACAAGTTTCATGATGTTTGTTTGGATGACCTCCTCTCCCTCCATTTTCTAACCCCCTCTCTCTTTAGCCCTCTCAAACTTTGTGGGTTCTAGTGCTACTCCCTGGCATCACAGAAATAAAAAGTAGCATAGTCATAAGTGAACTGATCACCACATCCAACCCCCTCCCTTTCTAACTCAGCCATGCTTGGGTTTCTCAGTTGCTCTTATTTATTCTTTTTTTACTGTGCTCATTGACACTGACTTTTTACTCTTTGTAGAAAAATTATAGCTATAAATTGTACTAATTGAAGAATAAGGTGTTTTTTGTGGTATGGATAGCCTGCTAACTCATTATGAAGTGAATGAAAAGAACCTGTGAACCCAGTGACATTTCTCAACAGAAAAAGTCAGAGTAGTTCAGGAAAGGGTGCTTTCTTTTGGCTACTCTTCCTCTAATGTCTTCCTAAATGGTTTCTGATCTGCAGGACTATAATTTCTTATTAAGTGACAATTCTCTAGATTCCGAGTCTCCAAATTCTTTATTTTTCCTCCTCCTAAACACAGTGCCTGCCTCGTTTCAATTACTGCTTTCAGACTCATTCCCAGGGTCTGCAAACTCAACAATAACAGATCTGTAGCAAATAGTCTCAACTGATATTACTTTCTCAGCTAAAAATAGTCTCTATGATTATAGAAGGAAGTAAGTACTGTCCACAGCAGAGGGTGAACTCCTTGAGGATAGGGTCATAATGCTTCACTTAATACTTTCTTCTATATTGCTGCTTCTGGTACACTGAAAACCACTATATATTTATGAAAGAAATTGAAGAGACAAATAAATAGAAAGGTATCCCACATTCATGAATTGGAAAACTTAATATTACTAAAATATTCATTTTATCCAATGCATTCTACAGATTCAATGCTATTCCTATCAAAATCACAATGGCATTTCTTAGAGAAACAGAAAAATAGAAATCGTATATGAAATAATAAAACACCTAGGATAGCCAAGGCAATCTTGATAAAGAATAAGCTGAAGGTATCACATTTTCTGATTTTAAAATATGTTATGAAGTTATAGAAATTTGAATATGCCAGTATGGTACTGGCATAAATATATATATATATACACACACATCAATGGAACAGAATACATGGCCCAGAAATAAACTCACACGTATATGGTCAACTGATCTTTGACAAAGGTGCCAAGAATACACACTGGGGAAAAAGACCATCTCTTCAAAAACTAGTGTTAGGAAAACTGCATGTCCTTATGCAAAAGAATGGCATTGGATCCTATCTTTATGCATATAAAAAAATCAGATAGATTAAAATCTTAAATGTAAGTTTTTAATTACATTTGAAACAGTAAAATTATTTTTTAAAAATAGGAGAAAAACTTTATGACATTGGTCTTGGCAATAATTCCATAGATAATAACACCAAAAACTACAAACTGATAAGGTTAAAGAATCAGACTCCAGGCTGAACTCCAAGGACCTGACCTCAAAAGCATTTCTGCCTCTGCCACAATATAAAATGAATAAGTAAGTAAACAAACAAACAAGTCAGGAAGCCACCACAACTTCTGGCTTCAAGACGCTTTCTGCTGAGAGGGGGCAATGAATGCTCCATGTCCTACCTTTTTAATATAATGTTACTTTTAAAAAAAAAATCCAAAATTGATAAGTTGCGCTACATCAAACCAAATATCTTCAGCACAGCAAAGAAAATAATCATCAGAGTGAAAAAGCTACCCAAACCATAGGAAAAATATTTGCAAGCCATATGTTTAATAAAAAGTTAACTGCTAAAATATATATATGTAACTCCTGCAACTCAGTTGTAATAAAATAAATAATCCAATTTAAAGATGAACAAAGGAACTGAATAGGTATTTCTACGAAGAAGACCTACAAATGGCCAGCAGATATGCTTAGCATCACTAACCATAAGGGAAATGCAAATCAAAACTCCAATGAGATATCATTTCACACCTATTATGAAGGCCATTACCATAAAAAAGATAACAAATGTTGGTGAGAATATACAAAAATTGAAATCCTTGGACATGTTCCGGTGTCCAGGAAGATGGAACATGTTTGTGGGAATGTTAAATGGTACAGCCACTATGGATAACAGTAGAGAGCTTCCACAAAAAATTAAAAATAGAATTATCAAATGATTCAGCAGTCCCACTCCTGGGCATATATCCAAAAGATCTTAAATTAGGATATCAAAGAAAGATCTGCCCTCCCACATTCATTGCATCATTATTCACAATAGCCTAGATATGGAAACAATCCAAGCATTTATCAACAGATGAATTGGTAAACAAAATGTGGTATGGACAAAAAAAGAAATATTAGTCAGCCTTAAAAAAGAAAATCTTGGGATCGATCCAAGATGGCCATTTAGGAACAGCTCAGGATTGCAGCTCCCAGTGAAAGCACAGAGGGTGAGTGGACGCCGCATTTTTATTGCCCACAGACTAGGAAATTCCCAGGCGGAGGAGCTCCATGGGTCGCCAGCGCGGCTGTTTCAGCCAGCACGGCTGTGCCGGCCGGCACCACTGCTTTGCCCCGCATGGCTGCTTTGTTGGCGCCCCAGAGCAGCAGTTCTCCGTACAAAATACACCCATCCGGGTGCCCTTTTGGCTGGCAATTGGAGCCACGGGAAGTCGTCCATTCGTCTGTTTAAAAAGGGGACTGAGCAGGGAACCAGGAAAGTAGATTCAAGGGCAAAAAAAGCGCCACGAATCTCAATGCTGCTGTTTAAGCCAGCGCAGTGACTTGCCGCAGGGGAAAACACACAGACCATGGTGCCTCTTGAACAGGCGACTGGAACACCAACTTAAAAATAAATAAATAAATAAATAAATAAATAAAGGCTCTGAGGCAGGGAGCCAGGCCATCAGGCGCGGCTAGTCCCACCCCCACAAAAGAACAGCATCAGAAACTCTCTGGATTGAGAGTTTCACAGCAAGTGCAGCTGAACCCTGGACGGTCCAGCTCTGTGGGGGAGGGGTGTCTGCCATTACCAAGGCAGCCCACCACTTCGGAGGTAGTCAGCCAGTGCTGAGGCACCCCGCTGTTGCCAAGGCAACCCGCCACTGCACAGAGACTCTGCCTTAAGAGAGGTGTCCCACCATTGCCCAGGCAGTTCTAACTACACCCATATAAACAGGACTGCAGGGAAGTTCACTCGGCAGCTGAGCGGAGCCCACAGCAGCTCAGCAAAGCCTCTACAGGCAGACAGTGACTAGGCTGCCTCCTTGATGGGCAGGGCAGCTCTGAAGGAAAAAAAAAAGAAGGTAGCAGCATAACAGAAACTCATAAAGCCCTAAATCCCTGGGACAGAGCACCTGGGAACAAAAAACAGTTTATGAGTTCTGCTGCAGCAGACCTAAACGTACCTGCCCAGCACCTCTGAATGAACAACGGAGCTCACAACTCAGCATTTGAGCTCCCATAAAGAAAAGACCGTCTCCCCAAGCAGCACCCTGACCCCTGTATATCCAAAGAGCCACCTCATAAAGGAGAGATCAGATTGACATTTCGTGGGTAACCTTCTGGGACAAAGATAGCAGATGAAGAAAACTGGTAACATCCCTTACTGTTCAGCAGCTGCTGCAGGTAATCCCCAGTCAAGCAGGGCCTGGAGTGAACCTCAGCAGACCTACAGCAGAGGGGCCAGACTGTCAGAAGGAAAACCAAGAAACAGAAATAACCTCATCATCAACAAACAGAACGTCAATCTGAAAGATTTGAGACCCAATCTGAAAGCCAGCAACTACAAAGCTGACAGGTGGATAAATCCTTAAAGATGGGAAGAAACCAGCGCAAAAAGGATGAAAACACCCGAAACCAAAACACCTCTCCTCCTACAAGGGATCACAACTCCTCACCAGCAAGGGAACAAGGTTGGAGGGAGAACGAGTGTGATGAAATGACAGAATCAGACTTCAGAAGGTGGGTAGTAAGAAACTTCTGTGAACTTAAAGAACATGTTCTAACCCAATGCAAAGAAACTAAGAACCTTGAAAAAAGATTTGACAAAATGCTAATGAGAATGGACAAAATAGAAAGGAATATAAGTGAATTGATGGAGCTGAAAAACACAACATGAGAACTTCGCAAAGCATGCACAAGTGTCAACAGCCGAATTGACCAAGCAGAAGAAAGGATATCAGAGGTCGAAGATCAACTCAATGAAATAAAACAGGAAGGCAAGAATAGAGAAAAAAAGGTAAAAAGGAATGAACAAAGTCTCCAAGAAATATGGGACTATGTGAAAAGACATAATCTACGTTTGATAGGTGTACCTGAATGCGATGAAGAGAATGAATCCAAGCTGGAAAATACTCTTCAGGATATTATCCAGGAAATCTTCCCCAACCTAGCAAGGCAGGCAAATATTCAAGTCCAGGAAATACAGAGAACACCATAAAGATATTCCTCAAGAAGAGCAACCCCAAGGCACATAATCGTCAGATTCACCAGGATTGAAATGAAGGAGAAAATACTAAGGGCAGCCAGAGAGAAAGGTCAGGTTACTCACAAAGGGAAGCCCATCAGACTCACAGCAGATCTCTCAGCAGAAACCCTACAAGCCGGAAGAGAGTGGGGGCCAATATTCAACATCCTTAAACAAAAGAACTTTCAACCCAGAATCTCCTATCCAGCCAAACTAAGCTTCATAAGTGAAGGAAAAATAAAATCCTTTGTGAACATGCAAGTACTCAGAGATTTCGTCACTACCAGGCCAGCTTTACAAAAGCTCCTGAAAGAGGCTCTACACATATAAAGGAACAACCAGTACCAGCCACTCCAAAAACATGCCAAATGGTAAAGAGAATCAACACAATGAAGAATCTGCGTCAACTAACAGGCAAAACAGCAAGCTAGCACCAAAATGGCAGTATCAGATTCGCACATAACAATATTAACCATAAATGTAAATGGACTAAATGCCCCAATCAAAAGACACAGACTGGCAAATTGGATAAAAAGCCAAAACCCATTGGTGTGCTGTATCCAGGAAACCCACCTCCCATGCAAGGATACACAAATAAAGGCTCAAAATAAAGGGATGGAGAAA